CACTCACCTCCTGAGCCATTCGACTCGCCACACCCTCCGCCGTCATGAAGATCGTAAGTCTGCAAGATGTCTAAGACCACGAAAAAAATGATCCACACAATACTTTACTATGTAAATTATTCAGTAAGAGGATTCACAACAATATAAAGACTTAATCCGCACAAAAAACTTTTTATTTTTTTCAGTTTGTATTCGCCGCACTTGTATCAGTCTGTCTGGCTGACAGACTGCCCAGTCACTTCGGCTATGCCTCTCCTCAACCTTCTTCAGCCTTCAGCCACAGGTCGCGACCTGCATCTCGTCCTTCCTTTTCCGCCCCAAGGCCTGCTCCCCAGCCAACCTACTCCGCCCCAAGATCTGCTCCCGGACCAATAGTGCCCATCCTTGTGGACGACCGCGTCCACCCCGACGCCGCCGGCGCTTACAGCTTCAATGTTGAGACCGGTGACGGCATCTCACGCCAGGAAAGTGGATCGCCTATTCCCGCCAAGGAGGGTCCCGTCACGGCCATGTCCGGATCCTACTCGTGAGTGTCGCCCTATTTGTTTCACCAAGTTCTGTTTGATATGGGAACTATTCATAGAAAAAAAAAAAAACATATGTTAACCAACCAATCCATCATTTTCAGCTTCCCCCTTCCTGACGGACAACAGTTTGAGCTTCGCTTCGTAGCTGACGAGAACGGCTTCCAGCCTCAGTCGCCCTTCCTTCCCGTGGCGCCAGCCTTCCCTCATCCCATCCCCGCCCACGCCCTCAGGCAAATCGAACGCGCCCGTCAAGGACCTTCTCAGGGATACAGCGCCCCTTCTCGACCCTCTCGCCCTTCGAATTCCTACGGCTTTCCTCAGTGAAACTTTTTAATACCAGAAATAACACGATAGTATTTAAAGTTATATAATTTATAACGATCTTAATGCACTGTACAATGTTGTTACATTAGTCTTATTTCGAATAAAAAAGAAAAAGAAAAAAGGAGACGTGTCTATGTCCTGCTCAATCTACAAATCCATATGCAAATATCTGCTTTTATTCTTCTTTATGGTTCTGGGTTTCTCCCTCATTGCCTACTAGTCACATAATCAAACAAACTTTTATATACAAATCTGATATACCGTTCGACTATTTCTTCATCCTTATTTGCGTATTCTTATAAGCAAGAAAGTTCTTTTTACTATCAGTATTTCCTTCCTGGGGCTACATTCACGAACACACTTACGATGGTAAAATCACTGGTAACTATAGTTACCATGGTGAACAGGCAGTAGTGGTATTCACTAACAACTTGCCATTGGAGTTACTATGATAAATTTTACTTGTAACTTCTGGGAAGACGATATCATCATGTGTTATCTCATCCAAAAATCAATATTCAAGCAAAGTTTTCGGTTTATTTTTTTATACCTCATATAATTTGTATGATGGCAAACAGATACTATAATATGGACATGACAAAGAAATGTTTATTTTCACATGAAACTAGCAAAAAATAAATCCACACAAATTCTTGCAAACTTATAGGTAAGGCAATCTCCAAAACATATGGGCAAGAATGATATTTAATAATTTCCTTTAATTGGCGATAGATAGTGTTGAATAAAAAAAATGTGTTTCGCCCGGATCTTTGTTTAACAATCACGAGAAATACTCAAATAAAAACTCTTTGGGCAGTTTCTTTGTTTTGTGGTAAACAATGATATGCTAATATAACAGTGTTGTATTGGTTACTATTTATGCGATAAATATCTAGGGAAGTCTATCAACATCCCACATGATGGATATAATCAAATAAATATTAACTGATTTTTTCTACATTTGCTTAAATGGTGTTCTAGGCGTGACAATGGCTTTTAAAATCTCGTTGTCTAGCTCTGTTTCCACGTTTTGTGATTGGCCGAAGGAACCTAAAATATGTATGACGATCGCTGATTGGTGGAATTGTTTTGCTAGAGCTCTCTCTATTGGTTACCAGTCGATGCAAGTTATCATCTCTTCGTGAATCCCACTTTGCCATCACTGGTGTCCGCTGATAATGCGTGTCGGTCGTATGATAGTGAATCCGAACCTTGAATATTATCAGTAACATTTCTAATTACTGTCATGAGTATCATAATCATTACCATGATTAACACTATCATCAAAAATCAATATTCATAATTATCATTATCATTAGAATCAATATTTGTGTCAGATTGACCTCACTATGACGAACACAAAGCGAAAACATTAAGTTATTGTGCTGGTCGATCTACCTTCTGATCCACTAAGAATTCTTTAAAGTAATGTTTTACATTATCATCATCACGGTCATCATTAAGCAACATGTTATGGTTATGATTTTCAGTGAAGAGCATTACAACTAGTATTGATCGTACTATTACAATTTGCATTAACGTTATGGTAACTGGTTATTGGTTTATTGATGTTATAGCTGATAAGATCATTGTCATGGCAGTTGTTATCACCATTATCTTATTTGGATCAACATTATCAGTGTCAGCATAGTCCTTATCAAATGTAGTCTCATTATCATTTTTATTTTCTTAGTCCCCTAATGCTATTATTTATGAGTATCAATCATCATCACCATCGTCATTATCTTTATCATCACCGCCATCATCTTCATAATTATGATCATCACCATTATCACCAATGTCGTTTAATGTCACCATTATTGTCATCGCCCTTATCAATATTGCAATAATTATTGTTATCAGAAGTATTAGCAATATTGATGTAGTCCTTATCATTACTGTATTATTGATATCATGATTTTTGTCATTATCTCGCCGTTATAATCGTTGTTAGTATTACCAGTATCATTATCATTACTACTACTATCAATACTATTACTATCATTATTTCATTGGCATTGTTGTTTTTATCATCATTGTTTTCATTATTATTATTATTATTATTATTATTATTATTATTATTATTATTATTATTATTATTATTATTATCATTATCATGATGATGATCATGATCATTATTATTGCTATTACCATTATTGTTATCATTAACATTGTTATCATTATTATTATTACCAATATCGTTATTAACATTATCATTACCATCATCATCATTACCAATATTGTTATTAGCGTTATAATCACCATTTAATTATTGTCTGTTATTATTATTGTTATTAATGTTTAGTTGTTAGAATTATCATTGCTATCATTACCATTACCACTGTTATTGATAATAATAGTAATAATAATAATAATAATAATGATAATCATAATAATATTATTATCATTACTTTCATTACAAGTATTATTATTACTAGCATTATTATCTTTATCATCATTGTGATAATAATAACAATAAAAATGATAATGACAATAATGATAATGATGAAAATAATGATGATAATAATGCTAATGTTAATGATAATAATCATCATGATAATAGTGACAGGAAAAGTAGTAGTAATGAAAACAATAGTGATTATTAGCTATAGTATTTTTTACAAATATCAGTAAAGTATTGGTAATAATAATTATAACAATTATCTTTGTCATTGATATTATTACTGTTACTTCTATCATCATCACTATTATCTTCATCATTAGTAATGTCATCACATGCATTATCATTGCACTTATCATTGCTATTATTATCATTATCATTATAATTGTTACTACTATTGCTTCTGCAACTACCATTGATACTATTCTATCATCATGATCATTATCATTATCACTGTTGTTGCTATCGTTAACTTCATTATCATTACCATTAGTAGTAACATCATCAGCGTTAATATTAGTTCTCATTATGGCTCTTATCACTAGTATCATCATTATCATTCTATTGAATTAATAATTTCCATTGGTACTGCATTTTAATCATCTTTTTCATCATTAGTGTTATTATTATCTTTACCATCATTATTCCACTATTATCCTAACTAAAATCATCCTTACCATTGATTTTCTATTCTTATTCTTATTTGTATTTATATTCTTATAATCATAATCAAATTAATATTAGTAGTAGTAGTAGTAGTAGTAATATTCTATTATCATTATTGTTATTATCATTACTATTATTTTTATCATTATTACTATAATCATTATCGACATTATCATCATTATCATTGTCATCATCATCACCATTGTCATTATGATTATCATTATCATCATTACTATCATTATTATTACTATTATAATCTTTATTATTATCATTACTATTATTACTGTTATAATTGTTGTTGTTATTATCACTGTTATTATCATTCTTCTATTATCTTTTATTATTACAACCAAAATTATTATCATTATTGTTATTATCATTATTACCACTACTATCGTTTTCACAGTTATGACCTTATTATTAAGATTTTCATATGTTTATCATAAGTAATAGCAGTATCACAACTATCATCATCATTATCATTATTGTCATCATCATCCCCATCATTACCATCATCACTGTTATTACCATCGATATCATTATAACCATAACCATTATAATTGTCCATTTTATCATACTTTTTATTTAATACTATTATCGACGTTATTACCACTTTCCTTATCATGATAATTATTATCATTGCAATATATATCTCCGTTCATACTAAAATTATTTTCTTGATTATCATTATTTTCATTATCATTATAATCATTATCACTATTATATTCATCATTATTATCACTATCATTATCATCGTTACCATTATTTTTATCCTTTTTGCTGTCATTATTATGATTATCATTATCATTGTGTTCTTACCATTTTCATTGTCAAAATCATTATCATATCCTCACCATCACTATCACTATTTTCATTATCATTATTATCACTATTAGTTATCATTATTCATTATCACTATTCTATTGTCACTTTTGTTATCATTATTTTTATATTTTCTAATACCGTTTCGAGTATTAACTTAATCACTACCAGCAGCAACTGCTGTAGCAAGAGTGGTAGCAGAAGTGATGAGTTGCCACTGTTACTGCTATTAATATAATTCTCATTTCAATTTGTATCATTGTTATCGCTGTTCTTTATATCACTCAAATTATCATCGCTTATGTTACACATTATTATCTTTGATGATAATTCCTTATAAGTACAAATAGAGGAACTAAAGGAACGATAAAGAAAAAAAAAATGGATCAAACCAAAGATGTACAAAGAAATTCATAGGTGAAAAGAGGAGATAAAGACCTTGTTTTCTTGAAAGACTTCCGGTTCTCCCTCTATTCCCTCCGTAAAATGGACTAAAAATTACAATCTCCGTTGTACCCCATGAAATATTACAAAAATCACTAATACTTTTCATATGATTTATTCGTTATCGGTAATGGAAGGAATCTTCCATTACCATATACCAGAGACGGTAACCAATAATGAATAATGTGCGTAATTAGATCAAGAATTATTAAAATGGACAAGCATAGATGTATTGCATAAGGGGATGTACATTTCCTTGCGTGGGAGGTAATGATAATGCCACCTTGACGCTGACTCTTCCACCGGTATATAAACCTTGGTTCGAGAGAATGGCATCACTCACCTCCCGAGCCATTCGACTCGCCACACCCTCCGTTGCCATGAAGATCGTAAGTCACCCCAAAATCTAATATGAGACAACGCATTAAAAATATCACCGTTACTATGTTATAGTTATCAATGTTATGATAATTATCATCATATTTATTATCATGTATTGACTTACTATCTCATGTTATCATATAACGCAACAGATTTTTAAGACAAGTTAATCAACGAAATATGTTGATTCTATTTTTCAGCTTGCATTCGCCGCACTTGTATCAGTCTGTCTGGCTGACAGACTGCCCAGTCACTTCGGCTATGCCTCTCCTCAACCTTCTTCAGCCTTCAGCCACAGGTCGCGACCTGCATCTCGTCCTTCCTTTTCCGCCCCAAGGCCTGCTCCCCAGCCAACCTACTCCGCCCCAAGATCTGCTCCCGGACC